TTCTTTCCTAGTTCTTTTAGAACTCCCAAATGTATTATAAATACTGCTATTTTTCCAAAGTTATTCATCAATTTCTTACTTCAGATTTCAGAATTTCTTCAAGTTCTCTTCTTCCTATTTTCGCCACCTTTTCTCTCTCCTAGAGAAATCGTGTTATTCGCTAGGTGCTAACGAACGCCCGGTGCTTGCATAGACAGCTCCGGTTCTCATTGCTTCCACGCTGCGTCAGTTTTTTGCTGTTCCAAACTGGTTAAGGGACAAATTAAACCAAGTAATGATATACAAAGATCTCCTTTTTTTCTTGTTTTTGTTATATTTTTTGTCTAAAAGGGTATAATTTATAGAATAATTTTGGTTAAAACACTTGTTTTATTAACACATAAATAGTTAAATAAACTATTTTACCGTGAAGTTCCAAGTTATTATTCTAATCATAGATGTCAAATATAATTAATCAGGTCTAATATATGATAGGGTCTAATTAGGTCTGACCCAATTACCCTCAATTAATAATTGGTTTTGTTTTGGGCCGGGTCTGTTTTATAAATTAAGACGATTAATAATCAGTTTGGGACTGATCCACCATGTTTTGACAGCTTTAGAACCACTCTCCCCAGGGCCCAGACTATTTTATGAAGTCTCAAGATCACATTAAACCTCAGCCCAACAATGCAATTTATTTTATTGTTTGTTTGTAACAAATTAATCTAGATTTGAGCCTTTCTGTCCTTATTAATTACCTTCCTCTATATCAAGTAGCATTCGAGGATGTAGCCCACACAACTGATCATGAATTTTTTTTTTTTTCGATGGATATACCACTCTCATGAATTAATCTCACCAACTTGTTGGTTTGATTTGGCATAATCGATGAGTTTTATGCTTTATGCTATCTAGAAAATATATATATATAAACACAAAGTGAATGCAGAGCGATGCATAATTGTATAAGCGTGAACATTTTCATTGTATTTTATGATTTTATCTATAAGTCATTCACCAATTTTCCATCAATTAAACTATCTAATTCAGTGATTTGGTTAAGGCACGTGTTTAGTTAATTCCAGATTTTTATTTTAATATAAACAACAGGGAACATTACCCAGATGAATCTCTCTCTCTCTCTCTCAACCCCAAATGACCAAGAAGGAATGCCAGTTATAAACAATGAGTTTTTGGCTTTTTGTCACTGTTGTATCTCTTTGTCTAAGGTGGACCTGTGAAACGAAGACTGTCAATCTTTGTCTTCTAACCCATTCTTTCATGGGTCCCATCATGTCTGTAGGGCGAAGTTTTCAAGAGTTGCATAAACATAATTATAATCTTCGCACACCAAAATCCTTGGACATTGTGGTGTCAAGCACATACAAGAAGGCCAACCTATAATATTGGTCTCATATGAAAATTTCACAGCAAGAAATGTGATCAAGACTGAGCTCAAGCGAAAGGTGACATTGTTATCACTTACAGAAAACAAAATTCATGGCATCCCTTGTGTAGGAGATTTTTTTTTTTTTTTTTTTTTTTTGCAGTGTTCAGATTTGCAGTTCTTAACTTATCATATGATCTTGCTAAGGAGGACCATTGGCATTTCCCTTCAGGGAACTGATTAGTATCCTATTCACTACTTCATCATAACTTTGATGATTTTGATATTCCAAGAAATATGAAGAGAAGTTGAAAAAGTATGAAGCTAAATTTACAGAAAAAGGAAGATTTAAATGTGAAGGATTGTATAGTGTAATTAAGAAGAGATGCCCACACCAAGAAAATCTATGAAGGGGACATCCTTGTGTTTGATGGAGTCATCTCCTTGCTCTTGCTCCGAATTCCTTCTTAACTTCTGTGTGATCAAATCATCTCCAAACCTCACCAACTCACTACTCTTGATCATTCTGTTACTTCCAAAACCCTCATCATGATCCTTATGATTCAGATGTGGATTATAGATGACCCTCTTGTAGTTATGAAGCACTGGTGCACTACTGAAGCTCCTGCATCCGCTGTAGATGGAAGAATTAGTAGTACAGTAGCTATAACGAGACTGGTCTGATGCATGTGAACTTGAACTGAAGTAATCCCTTCCTCCGCCGTGGAAGATATCAATTGACTGTGATCCGGTTGTATTGGTTGAACCAGAAAATGCCCATGTGTGGGATGAACACGATGGTGATGCCACAAACAATCTATCTTTGCCATGGCTTTGGAATTCAAGGAATCCGCTTGAATTGAAGTGGAATTCCTTCGACTGATTCTCTGCTTGGGATTTTGAACACTTGCCAAGAAAGTTATAGGAGGAAGAGCTACTGGGGTTACGCAGAAGGTCTTGGAAACCTCTCTTGCCATGGAGCTTGGAGCGTTCTCTATGTTTTCTAGCCATGACAACATGCCAGTGATTCTTCACGGCATTGTCGGTTCGGCCGGGGAAGAGCCGAGCTATTAGAGCCCATTTGTTGCCGTGAACTCGATGAGCTGCAAGTAATCTTTCTTCTTCTTCTTCTGAAAATGGCCTTCTGTTAATTCTTGGGTCAAGTTGGTTAAACCATCTTAATCTGCAACTCTTACCTGCAAATAGAGAGAACGTATGATTTAGAAGATACAATTAATAAAACCCATTCGTAAGTGTGTGTGATCTTTATAATTTATCATGGAAGTCGATTAATAAAAGACGAAACAAAGAAAAATAATCTGTTGTATCATGGTGCAACCGATTCAATTCTACCAGATATATCTTCAGAGCTCATCTGGAAAAGTTGAAATTATGTTCAAGTTGGCCCAAGAGAACCTAGAATTTGGAATTTGGAATTTCAATTTAACACCAATGTTTCAGCTTCTGGAAATAGATTAGAGAGAGAGGAGGAGGAAGAGAGACTCATCTGTATTCCATATCTTACCTGATCTCCCTTGAAGTTTCTCTGCAATAGAGTTCCAATTCTGGGGGCCATATTGCTCAACAAGCTGCCGGAGTTTCTCATCCTCAGCAGGCCTCCAATGTCCTCGTGGGCAATTTTTTCCATCATCACTCCCTCCAGATACCGAGTCCTCCATTGTGTCGATCAACAAGATTTGTTGCCACACAACTGGGGACTGCCTTTCAAGAATCACAACTAACAAGACTACTAATGATAACAGCAGGATTAAGAGGAGGAAGAGGCGGCACCGAAAGGAGAAGAAAGTGGGTCGATCTATCGGTAGAAGATGAGAAGTCCCTTTTGTTGTTTTACCCAATAAGATGAGACTATATATCTCTATAGCTACTGATACTTTACGTGTTTTCCTATTGGCCAATAACCCTTCCCTATCAATTCCCACCTATTCCCAGGCTTCATTCACAATTCTCTCTCTCTCTCTCTCACTTATGTAACTTATTAAAATTTCTATTTCAAACCTTCTTTCTTCCAAGTAGTTTAAAGAATAGTTATGTTAATTTCAAACCTTCTTTGAGAACCCCAAGATTGGGAATGAGTTTATATTGTTCATAACTGCTAAGTTTTAATGAAGACTCTGGTGGTTTAAGCTTTCAAACCAACCCTTTTATATATACGATGCGGTGCAACTAACTAGGACTCCTGACTCCTGAATCCAGATGTTTTGTATTGCGAAGGTTAAGTTAGAGGTTGACGGAAGTGTATATCTCACTGCAAAAGAAACTAGAATATTGAGTATTAAGTTGTAGATTAGTAACTAAGGAAATTATTTAGTTAGTTAATTTAGGTTGGAATTAAGGTAATTAAAGATTCCCATTCATAATTTTGTCTTAACGTAAACTTATCAATATTTTATTTCATTTTATTATGGCCTAATAGACTATTAGGTGCTAATTAATATTTGGAAGAAACACTAGAGGAGAAGATGATATTGTCTTTATATATTGTATATGATGTTGTAATAAGGCTGTTATATATATATTTATATATATAATCTGATTATATAGATATTATATAATTATATAAAGTTATTTTTGTTGGAGGCAGACTGTCCTCCTGTTGAGTGTCTCATGACTTTTGCTCCATTTGCAGAGGGCTCACAAGCTATTTATTTCCCAGTCTTCTTGATCGAGTACTCTATCTGTGTGTTCAGCAAGTCTAGTTTGTCGCGTAGTGTTTTGTTTTCGCCTTTTGTTGTTGCTTCTGTTTCTTGGATTTGTAATTTGAGCATTTATGAATAAATTTTTGCCTTTATGGATTCAGAAAATATATTTTATATAAATATATTAGATATGTATATATTAAGACTATGTTTGATTTGAAGGAAAAAATAGGGAAAGGAAGGGAATTAGACAAGAAAACCTATATAAGGCTTGTAAAGGTTTTTTTATCTTTTCTTTTCTTTTTTACGTACATTTTCTTTCAAACCAAACATAGCCTAAAAGATAATTATTTTTTAATTCTTTAATTTCTTTTGGATTGGATTCTGACAAAGGGTTTTGATTTGAAGTTTCAATAATAAAAAATTTGGATGTAAGTGAATCAGATCCGATTCCAAACAGCCCTATATTGTAGTGTATTAAGGAGTTGCTAAGGCTCAATTCCGAAAGAGTATTGATACAAATATGTAGAGTGCAAAACCTTGTATTCTGTATTATTTTGTATGTATTAATACCGTACATATTTGTATTTGTACTCTTTCCAAACTGAACTTAAAGAGTAAGGCCTCATAGATGCATGTGCGATCAGACAAGCTACAGTGAGGGCATCCTTATCATAACAAGGAGTACCCTCTTAGGCTTCCATGTATGTTTAGATAATCAAGGCCCACCATAAGATAGGTCCCACTCTAGACCTGGGATCTGTTATTCACAAACTCTTTACACATTCCTGTCCACTGGGAACTACAGCCGCACATTAGGAATGTCTCCTTTGTCATTGGAGATATTCCCAATACACGGTGGTAGTGTCTCATCAGTAGAGATGTGGAAAGAGTAATTTGTGGATAGGAGATGAGCGTACCCATTCTAAACATAGTTCAGATTTCCTACTAAACAAGAACCCTACCCACACCTAGTCATGCCTCGTCATAACTGTACATTGAGAACATCTTCCTTATTTGCATGTTACTATCCATCCACAGGGAGATGTTCCCAATGTACAGCTACAATGTCATGTGCATAGGTGTGGGTATGGTTTTGTGGGTAGGAGATATGGATTGCTCTAAATAATTGTTAGGTAAAAGAATTTATCTGCACAACCTGTTGTTATTTTATTTTTCCTAAATTTACCTTCTATACCTATTACATAACTTCTGTTAATTATCATTAAAAGAAATAAAATAGGGAACTTCTCACCTAAGAAAACAAAACTTGACTAACTTTTCTTACTATATCTTGATTTTAGTTTTTGCATAATAAAAATGATAGTTTATGAATCAATTATAAGGAAATTAATTAATTAGTATGCATAAATAGATGTCTACTCTACCATTCATATATCTTTCTATTCGATCTATCAATGATGTTTATGTTTTTCCTTTGTTCTACAATTGTCTCGATGTTACTCTAACATTCATTTCATTTAGGGAATGTATGGTATATAGCTTCATTGTGTTGCCCTTTGAGTTCAAGGTCAACATCAGCACCACATAAGCATTTCCTTGCCAAAAATCATGTTTGGTATGACTGTTTACGGTGGAAGCTGTAATACAACATGGTGCATTGGGTTTTGTGAATATGTCCGTTTCCGGAAGCCAAAATTTTTAGCATCCTGCAATGTACTTCAGAAGCCATGATATACCAGTTTGGATCTCATTCTCGCAAAATTGGTCCTCACACCCACCTCACTGCAAGGACTGTGAGGAGAGAATTTTGGCAACTATTAATTGTAGGTACAATCACCTTATTGAGGTGGATTTAAAGCCACCTTGATGCTGCTCAATCTGAGGTGGTGCACGAACTGAGGAGAGCAACCAGAGCTACACTGACATGGCTAGGCTATGCCAACATGGCTAGGCGATGACTGGGTGGCCACGTGTCTCTCAAGGCCAGATTAGCCATGACTCCAACACCACTCCCCCAGTTCTGAAGTCGAGGGACAAGGATCTCTTAGTTCGTTGCTCGGCTGAGGGACTTCCGAGCTGTTGTCTGGTTCTTTTGTTGCCCGCGCAATGTTGGTCGTTGTCGAGGAATCCTCTGATCGTCGGCTGCAGAACTTAAATAAGAACCAAAATTTCGGTTCCCAAAACTCCCCCAGTTCTGCTGTTGAGGAGGGGAAATGCTCGGCCGGACTATTGCGTGGCCATGTAGCCTTGTCTGGCGTCGGGGCTCGGTTCCGGTCAGTGTTGAGCATTCTAGTTGGGCCGACATTCTTGGGCAGCCCATCGAGGATCTCGTTGGTGGTTGGATCGGTACTGAGGGTCAAACCGACACAATTAATGGTCATAACCGTTGCATGTCAAGGCCGTCGTTTCGGTTTCTGATGCTTCGCACATGCGTCATCGATCGCATTGATTGGTCTTCTGAGGCGTTGTTAGAGGTGCTTTATCTGTACCGTTGATCTCTCCTCGGTTCATGCTCCTGGTGGCTATAAAAGAAGCCCCCCCCCTTTGTGTCATTTGCGAGGAAGGTAGCTTGCATTGCTCGGCGGAGTGTGGTGCGATTGCTCGGTAGTGAATGCTCGGCGGTAATTGCTCGGCAGTAGTTGCTCGGCAGTAATTGCTCGGCAATTTTCCATTCCTCGGCTCAGTATGTCTTCCTCATCCCATCGATCCTCTTCCTCTTCCGGGTCCTCTAGTAGTGGTTCCGGTTCCAGCTCTTCTCATGGCTCCAACTATGAGCTGGAGCTGAGGGATTTTGTGACCGCCGAAGTCGACAAGGTTGAGGCTAGCCCTTCTAAGACGAAGGCGGAACTTCCCCTATGGGCAGGTCACCGATTTGGCACCACGTCCTGCGTCCTGCGTCTTGACGCCTGGGGATATGGATCGGATCTAAGATATGTATGTCATCCCCGTGGAGTTCCAAATGAGGTGTCCACAGCCCGGCGAAATGGCCACTAATGCTCAGCCCGGCGAGATATGTGTGTATGAGCATAGCTTAGAGGATGGGTTGAGGTTCCCATTGAGCGAGGGAATCGCTGAGGTACTGGGCTAGTATAGAGTATTGCTAGTGTAGTTGATGCCGAACTCCTTTAGGTTCTTGCTCGGCCTCATGTCCTACTATGCAGTCCGTGATATCGAGCTGACCTTGGGGATGGTGAGCTTTATGCTTTAGCTGAAACACCACCAATAGGGCTACTACAATTTCTCCAATAGGCGAAATGTACAGTCGTTGGTCGGGTCTCCTTCTTCTGTGAAGCACTGGAATGAGTCATTCTTTTACGTGTGCATTCCTGAGGGTCTCCCTTTTCCGACCGAGCTACGGGAGCCAAGGACAAATGTGTCGTAGTCCTAGTAGATGGCGCTTACTTGGGAGGAGAGGTCGGCCCTAAGCATGATGCTTGCCGAGTTGATGGAGGGGGTGGTCGGTCTATTTCCTTTACTGCTTGTTTGCTAAGTTATTGTTCCCTTGTTTGCTTTCTACTTATCTCGGGCATTATGTGTTGCAGGTATAAGGATGACCAATGAAGAAGAGATTGTTCGTCGGATGAGGGCACTTCGGCAGAGGTAGGGGCGAGCTGTTGCGCAGCCAGAGGCTCGGCCTAAGGCAGTGGAGAGTTCGACAGCGGGAGGCCGAGGAGGACAATGTTGTCGTAATTGACCCTGAAGGGGTTCGTCATCCTACGGGTGCGTTGGGGACAGAAATGGGCGGCAGCAGTTCGGGCCTACACATGCCGCGGTGGTCGGTCCATGTTTATGATAACTTGGAGACGCCTGGGGTTCCCGAGCAGTTGCTGCGAGGGATTATGACTATGTCGATGGCTCAGGAGTTGGTCGAGGTCGGCAACAGAGCCTTAGAGTGCGCACTTCTATAGTCTGTTGCCCAGGTGAGTTCCTTTCTTTCTTATCCCAAGTGTTTTTGTTTTTTTTTTTGTGTTTTTTGGGCGTATACTCATCATTCTCTTCTACAGAATGCTTGTGTGACAGTCATGTTGGTTGATCGTGTCCGGGACCTTTGATCATTGTACAAGCGAGAACGCTCTAAGTATCTACAGCAGAAGGCCCAGCTGACCGAGCTTCAGGCTGCCGAGGAGTAGTAAGCTGTGCTAGAGAGGGAGGTGGCCAAGCTAAAGGCATAGCTGGCCAAGCAAGCCAGCATTGTTCGGGGG